CMAMYWAAAMMAAAAAAAAATATATTAAAAAAAAAGACACTGACCTGAGGAGGAGGCAGAGCTTCTCTGCTTCCACTGCAGGGTCCACCTCCACTTTTCTGCCACCATGATCCTGGATTTTTTCAGGAAGATAGTGGAAGGACAATATTCACTGTAAGTCTGGGTTAGGAGGGGCTCTGTTTAGAGCCAGAGGCACAGGGTGCCACCTGTGAACTCTTTACCTCAAGTGTGCCAGTTGAATCGGCCACTGAGCCTGAAGGACAAACAGATGTTCACAGTGTTTTGGAGCCACACATGGGATTGGATGGTTGTCTCCAAGGCTAGGATAACCTAGATGCCTGTGCCTGTCTGTCTCTAGGAGGTAAGATGGCAGCTGGGCCAAATGGGCACGAAGAGTGGGTGGGCAGTGCATACCTGTTTTTGGAATCCTTACTGGACAAGGTGGTTCTGTCTGATGCCTATGCACACCCCCAGAAGAAGGTGGCAGTATACAGGGCTCTACAGACATCATTGACAGGTGGGTAAATGGGTAGGAATGGGAGAGCAAGAGGTGGGCTAGGCTCTTTTGTGGGTGGGGCAGGGGTAATACCCCACCTCCTGGATTTGGTGGGCCTGGGCTTATAGCCACTTTCAGGAAAAGAATTGGGTGAGGGAGGGTAAGTGTAAGGTAGAGAAAACTGGCTGTGTAGGATTTGTCTTCTCTGCTTACTGCATGTGTGTGTCCTTGAGCATAATCATGTTTATCCATGATTGTACATCTACCTATTTCTGCACTAATGTCCCGCTACTCGATGCCCCCCACTGTGGAGCAGCCAGCTCACTCCTTCCTAGTAATCACAGGTTTCTCTCTTCTCTTTTCCTCTCTCACTACAGCACTCCTTGCCCAAGACCCCTCCCCACTACTTATCATTCCAGGTTCTTCTTTCTCATCTCAGGGTAGAAGCCACAGGAGGCTGAAGCTGGTTGGGGCATCCAGCTCCATCCTTAGAAAATCAAGAACTCCTCTCTTTCCAGGGGAAAGGGAACCACACTAGGTGGAAGCCAAAGACCTGAGACCTCCTGCCCTTCCCCTGCCTGCCTATGCACATGGCCTGGTGGCCCAGGGCATATGCCCCCTTTCTGTGTTGCAAAGCCCCTCTCTTCTATTTGGGATTTAAGAGATAGGGCTAGGTGGCACCTACTCTTATCTTGGAATGTACTCTATGATAGATCCTGGCCTGCTTTCTGGGTTGTTGCTATTTGCATTCCCTTTTTTGTTTCCAAGCTGGGTACTCTGGATAATCTAGTATCCCAGGTTAGAGAATGGGGACGGGGGTTTGACCATGGGCTTTGCCCCTCCTCGGGCTTAGAGAACGCCCCACTTGGGGACCTCTTGGGGACCACCTGGCGCCTGACTGCTCACCTCCGCAGAGAGCGCTGAGAGCCCAGACGTGCTGCAGATACTCAAGATCCACCGCAGCGACCCGCAGCTGATTGTGCAGTTGCGTTTCTGTGGGCGACAGCCCTGTAGCCGCTTCCTCCAAGTCTACCGGGAAGGAACTCTGCGCGCCAAGCTGCAAAGTTGCTTGGCAGCAGCGCTGGCCCAACACTCTGTACCGCTGCAGCTGGAGCTGCGCGCTGGAGCCGAGAGGCTAGATGCTTGGCTGACGGACGAGGAGCATTGTTTGAATTGCATCTTAGCCCAGAAGGTGCGGCAGGATGGGGTCCCCATGGGGTAGGGTGGGGATTCAYGGATAAAAGCCCCTCTGACCTCGTACTCCCTTCCCTAGCCCGACCGGCTCCGGGATGAGGAACTAGCTGAGCTGGAAGATGCGCTCTGCAATCTAACGTGTGGTTTGGAGGGCCAGGGTGATAATGTGGATGTGGATGTTGATGTCCTCCCAGCCCCCTCGCAGTCCCTGGTCCCCTCTCCGCCAGAGGAAAAGCCACCGCCCTTGTCTGGACAGACGTTTCTGTTCCAGGGTCGGCCAGTAGGTGAGGTGCAAGCGCAAAGGTGGGGTCCCCGGGAGGTTGGAGTTTGGGCAGGGGTGATGGTTAGGCTAGACGTCAGTGGCTGGGCACAGGTGGAGGCCAACTCTTGGGTCCCTCCCACCCACCTGCCTCCCCAACTCCCTCCACAGCGAATCGRCCACTGAGCCTGCAGGATCAACAGACGTTCGCACGTTCAGTGGGCCTCAAGTGGCGTAGGGTGGGACGCTCACTGCAGCGCAGCTGTCGGGCATTGCGCGACCCAGCGTTGGACTCACTGGCCTATGAATACGAGCGTGATGGGCTRTACGAGCAGGCCTTCCAATTGCTGCGTCGCTTCGTGCAGGCAGAGGGCCGCCGAGCCACACTGCAGCGCCTAGTAGAGGCGCTTGAGGAGAATGAGCTCACCAGTCTGGCAGAGGACCTGCTGGGCATGGCAGGTCCTGATGGAGGCCTGGCCTAGACCCGGTTCCAAGGATGCAGCAGTCTACCAGGAGCCCAGCAGCGTTTGGAGCATCTGGATGGTTCTAGAGTCCCTTCTGCTACTACTGTTACTATTGCTGACCCTCCTTCCAAATCCACTGGAACCCTACAACTACATTTAAAACCTCTACTTCACTGAGCTCCTGCAGCAGAGTTGAGTGCCTTCTCCAGGATCCATAGGAACACCTGTTGAGCTCCTGGGACATACCACTGGGGATTCTGCTCTAGATTCTTTGATGGAGACAGTATGAATGTCGTTCTCATCCTCCTCTATCCCCAAAAGAGAATCTTCTGGTTAGCCCTCACCCCCTTCACTCCTTGAACAGTGACTCAATAAGCGCCTGGAATTTCCTTGTCCTAGGCACCACCCTCGGTGCTGCAAATACTGTAGTGAACCAAATACCCAAATCCCGCTTGCCCCAGCTCACTCAGTGTGAGACCCAAGTACCTAGCAATGGTAATAAAATGTAACTTTCACTCAGGGAATTGTGGGAACACAGAGGCCTACCCCAGGCTGGTGTTAGGATCCTGAAGAGATGAGCTGGTGGGAAAGGTGAGGTGGGGAGTTGAGAGAAAGGCAGTGCTCTGGGCATAGCAAGCACCCTGGGGTCTTGAGGAAGGGAATAGGGAAGAGAAGTCTAGAKTGGCTGGAGGGGGTTGTTGAATGACCCATTAGTGAAGGAGAACATGGAGTCTGGTGAGCCGTTTTACAGAATTTGGATTTAATAATGAGGTCAATGAGAAGCCTTTGAAGGGTTTGGGAATTAAGACTGAGAGGCTGGTGAGGATGAAGAGAGAGAGAGAGAGARAGARARAGAGAGAGAGGGAGAGAGATAGAGGCATGCACGGAGAGAGGGGGAAGGAGAGAGGGAGAGATTGCAAGAAAAAGCAGCAAGAAGGAGACAGATACTGAAGGGGCAGTAGCTGCAGCAATGGAGGAAAAGGGATGAACACCAGGAGATGTTCAGGAAGAAGAATTGGCCTTGGTAACCCTGGATTGGAATGGGGTAAAGAGGACCCAAAGTTTCTTCCTTTGCCAGTGGGATGGAGGCTTGGGGTGGCCCTGTTTGCTCTGTTCATGGGAAATGGTGTTCCTGTAGGACATCCAGTGAGGGAGTGTGAAGGCTGCTGGGTATATAGTTCTGGGTTTAGGAGGAGGGTCAYGGGTAAAGATTCATGAATGGACAGATAGTGGGACTGAAGGACACTTACTAGAAAAGTGTAACCCCAAGAATAAAGAGGAAAACCAGGGGTTTGGGGGTCAGGGAATACTCACTGTGGTAAGAAAGCCGGCTGACAGATCAGTTGAGACTGAGGTGTATTCAGTTAATAACATGGAGGTTCTGGGTGGAGGTACCATGGAAAGGAGTGGGAAGTGAAGCAGTGATGCACACCTTTCCTGGGGGTTTTCTACTCCAAGCTCTACCACATAGGCTGAGGTCTGGAGACCCTGAGTTCCAGGAAGAGACAGTTGAAAGCTGGCAGCAGAGTTAGGCAAGGACTGGGCTCTCAGGCTCCAGGGTGCCACTCTGCTCACCTTGATCTCAGGTCAAAGCTTTTGCTGAGTGGCCTCTTCCAGGAGCTTTACCAATCCCTGCTAACCCAATCTGGTCAGCAGTGACATTTCTATGTGCAGGAGGCTCTGCGGGGGAGCAGGAGACTCAAAACTGAATCTGGGACTGGACTCAGGCCTATAAGCTCCTGGAAGACAGGGCTGCATTGCTTGCCTGGGAAGTTCATGCAGACAGGGTTGGCCTGCTGTCTGGTATCACAATGGGGACAAAGGAGAGGTGGGATGGGGGAAGCACAGAGGATTCCTGGACTGAATTCCAAAAGATTTGGGACAGTACTTTCTGCCTGTATGATCCTCCTGGGCCTAAGAAGCAGCGTCCCCATCTGGGCATAAGTAACGAGAACTGGAGAAGCAGTTTTGTGTGTATAAACCGTCCTCACTGGGCAGTTTACTGGGTGGCAGGCGGGGGCATTCCGTGCGAGTGGGGGGTAACCAGAGACACCAATACTTACCAGGCCTCAGAAAAGCGGTCTTGGGGAGTCTGAGCTAGCACCAAGAATAGGCCTTCCCAGCAAGAATCGCCCCTAAGGAATCCTCTCAGGGATTAATCCTCACTCTGAGTTCCCGGCRCGGCGCTGGGGCGGAGCTGAGCTCCAGATGTCCGGGCGCGCACAGCTGGAGGGTCACGTGGCACGGCCTCGGTCCCCTTCCTGCCAACGCTGCATTTGGCCCAGGCCCCGTCCATGGCCGCCCTTGGGACCCTGCGCTGAGCCCGAGGCTCCAGCGTCAGGGGGCCACGCTGCCGCTCCCAGAGTGAGTGTCGGGATCCCAGAGCAGAGGTTGGGGCGGGGAGGAGAAAGGTAGAAGGGATTCGGTCCTAGCGTGAGGGGTGGGAGAAGGTAGGGCTGAGAAAGGGCCTTTCTGCCCGGCTTTAGCCTCTTGGGCACCCTCCCGGGCTGGAGTCGGTGGGGATGGGAGTTCGCTACAAGGGGGAACATCTTGTCCCTTCAGGCTGCTAGTCCCAGCGGTGCGAGGAGGAGGTGCAACGGAGGGGAATGAACGGCCGGTAGTTTAAGACCCCCCCCCAGGGTGTGGTCTCCCGCACCCTCCTCTCCGGGAGGCGGGGCTGGGAGCCTCTGACCCCCACCCGCCACCCGTCCTTGCTTCCAGAGGCTCTGCGGGCGACCCTTCGAAGAGAGGGCGGGCGTCGGCCACGCGGTCATGAGGAGGAGGCTGCGCCTACGCCGGGATGCGTCACTCACGCTGCTCCTCAGCGCCGCCCTTGGCCTCTTACTGTATGCACAGCGCGACGGCGCGGCCCCCACTACTAGCATGCCGCAAGCGCGAGGGCGGGAGGCACAAAGACCCACCCCAGGTCCCCGAGCATTCCAGGTACTGGACTCTGGCGCAGCCCCACCGGCCTACGAAGGGGACACGCCGCCATCGCCCACTCCCACCGGCTCTTTTGATTTCCGCCGCTACTTGCGCGCCAAGGACCAGCGGCGCTTTTCACTCCTCATTAACCAACCTCACAAGTGCCGTGGTGATGGTGCACCTGGTGGCCGACCTGACCTGCTCATAGCTGTCAAGTCGGTGGCAGCTGACTTCGAGAGGCGACAAGCTGTGCGCCAGACGTGGGGTGCCGAGGGTCGCGTGCAGGGGGCCCTTGTACGCCGTGTGTTCCTGCTGGGGGTGCCCAGGAGTGCAAGCACCAATAAGGCTTACCCGGAGGGGGTGGGCACACAGACACACTGGCGTGCACTGCTGCATGCTGAGAGCCATGCATATTCGGACATCTTGCTCTGGGCCTTCGACGACACYTTTTTCAACTTAACACTTAAGGAGATCCACTTTCTGGCCTGGGCCTCAGCCTTTTGCCCCAACGTGCGCTTTGTTTTTAAAGGTGATGCTGATGTATTTGTACACGTGGGGAACCTGCTGGAGTTCCTAGCATCGAAGGATCCTGCGCAGGACTTGCTTGCAGGTGACGTAATAGTGCAGGCGAGGCCAATCCGTGCTAGGGCCAGTAAGTACTACATCCCAGAGGCTGTGTATGGCCTGCCTGCCTATCCAGCCTACGCAGGTGGTGGTGGTTTTGTTCTTTCTGGAGCTACGCTGCACCGCCTGGCAAGTGCCTGTGCACAGGTTGAGCTCTTTCCCATCGATGATGTCTTTCTAGGCATGTGTCTGCAGCGCCTCCGGCTCACACCTGAGCCTCACCCAGCTTTCCGTACCTTTGGCATTTCCCAGCCTTCTGCAGCACCACACCTGAGCACCTTCGACCCCTGCTTCTACCGCGAATTGGTTGTAGTACATGGGCTCTCAGCTGCTGACATCTGGCTTATGTGGCGCCTGCTGCATGGGTCACATGGGCCAGTCTGTGCACATAGGCAGCCAGTTGCTGCAGGCCCCTTCCAGTGGGGCTCTTAGCCACCCATCACAGTGCCAAGCTTCTCTTAGCCCCAGGATGGAACAGAAGAGAGCCTGAAGGAGATTCCTGTGTGAATTATTAAGGTGTGGGTTACTCTTTCCTAGATTACCTGTGTCTGCCTCCTCAGAATCCCAGGGTATGGAAACTGAGTTTGGCATTTCCTGTTGGCTCACACTACACAGAGGAGGTCTAAAAAACAATGTATTGGTGACCAGGAGTAGAGCTATGGCTGAGGTGGAGGAAGACCATGTCTTGCCCAACAGGCCCCAGAGCAATGGACATATTTAATCATCCTAGTAGCACATAGGTGTGTGTTCAGGTGGACGCTTGGTTTTGAACTCCTAGGATGATGCAGACACATGCAGCTCCTCAAGGCCAGGTCCCACAGCCTTCATGGACCTGGCAGGCATTCTGTCATAACTCAATCTAGACATGTTGCTTGCCACCTGCTTCTTCAATTGGATTCCCAGCCCTGCCTACATTTTTAGATCTTTCCCCTCTCAGGTCTGCTTTCCTGGGCCAACTCCAATAGGATCCAGGTCTGCCTGGTACATCATGGATAGAGCCATATCAAGGACAACTATGTCATGTTCCTAAAGTCTTTCCCCATATCCTATACCCATACACTATGCCATTGTTAAAAGCTGTCCCGTCCCCTTCAGAGGAGCCATGGCTGTCTCCTCAGACTTTTCTACTATAAAATTTCTCATATTCTTCARCCACCCCCTTCCTAAAAAATAAATACTTCCACACTTATTTCAGTACAAATATCTCAGCAACAGCCCATGGCAAGCTGCTGCTGAGGGCACAGGTGCTTTATTGGAGAAGGGATGTGGGCAGGGGATGAGGATGGTTCCCTCTTTCCAAGAGGATGGGAACAGTCCTGGCTACCCCTGACAGTAAAATGTGCAGGGYCTCTGGCCAGACCACTGTCCAAATGGGAAGACATTAGTCAGTTACAAAGTCAAAGTCATGGGAGTGCCACATAAGCCTGACTATAGGACTAGGAACCATACAGGCACCTGGAGCAGATCCCCTGCACATTCATCATAAACTATACAGGATGAGGCTGTACATGAGTTAATTACAAAAGTGTCATATTTACAAAAATCTGTACACACATTTGAAAAACTCACAAAATTGTCATCTATGTATCACAAGTTGCTAGACCAAAATATTAAAAATGGGATTAAAATTATACATTTCTCTTAATTCTTTCCAAAAAGATTAATATTTTTAAAGCATATATATGCTACTTTCCATTAGCCAGACCCATGAAGAGACCAAGCAGCCCAACCTCCCTGGAGCCCCCCCAGCCTTGAGCCATGAATGGCCTGGTTTGAGGACAATGCCCAGGTTTGAGGCAGGGAGCTGGCCCACAGTGCAGAACAGAATCCTAAAACACAATGAAAGAGGAAGATGTCTTTGGCTAAAACTTTGGCATTAAATAAAAGAGGCAAACAGGATGGAAACATGCAGCCCTGCCAGCCAGGCTGGGCAGAGCAGGGGCACAGGCAACCTTGAAAGCTGGCTCCAAGAGTGGTGGGAACCAGGCCTGAGCACATACCTGGATGGTAGAAAGCTGTGTTTCAACCAGTTGGGTGTGCTTCCTAGGACTGGTGGGCAATGGGTGCCAGAAAGGAACCAGGAAGGGCAGGTAGGCCACCTTGGCCACAGCCAGCTCATCAAGTAACAAAAGTGGATGTAGTGCAAATGTTGCTACCAAGTACTATGGGCACGCTACCTTCCTGCCACAAGGGTCACATGGCAATGTGGAACCAAAAGCAGGACCCATGTCCTCAGCCACAGAAAGAGCCCCAAGTTTTCCCAATGTGTGTGGGACAGGGGCTGACATGTCCTGCCTCCTTACATGTTAGTAGAGAGCTTCTGAGTCCAGATATCAAGGATCAAAATTTGTGCTTCTCTTTGCAGTCTGTTTCCTGCTGGCAGCAGCAGGCTTAGGATGGACAGAGAATATCTGGGCCCTTTGTCTCATGGCAAAGCACCCAGACTACGTTCCACCTCATAACAGTCCAAGAGCCCGTCAACACTGGCAAGGTGTCCAAGAATACCCACAGGTGGTATAGAGAACCACTGAGCAGGATGCAACGCACAGTTCCATGGGTAGAGGGGCAGGGGCAGTGATGTCTCTAGGGTAGCTCTCCTGTTCTCAGGTGGGCACCAGGCCGGGGGGGCCCATACAGGGTCACCGAGGCAATGTGGTTGTTCTGCATGACCTGGTATAAGAAGAGGACAGTGGATCAAGGGACAGGGGAGAAGGAATAAAGGCAGATCCTGTGTGGCAGAGGGGTTGGCTAGAGGTCATATACACAAAGCGAAGGCTTCTTGACCCCTCAACTCCTCACAGTTTACACTAGGGTGCAGATCCTCTGCTGTTCCTCTTGGGGTACTTGACCTTTACCACACCTACTTGTCTAGTTCTTCTGGAACTGCTAAGGGCCTGCTAAAAGTATAGCTTCCAAGAAAAAAAAAAAAAAAGAAAGAAAGAAAGAAAAAGAAAAAAAGGCTGTCTATTCTTCCCCCAAGCCAATGGGGCCTCCAGAGCCATTTGCCTACAGTACATTCATTCACAAAGGTTCCTAACATGCCCAGGGTTTGGCCCCACTGCCCCTTTCCCTGAGTACCTGGTTTCAGTACACACAGAGATCCCTGTAATCCTTCTCATTTTGTTGGAAACAGACTGCTTCAGCCTCCATAATTCCAAATTTCTTCAACCTTTCCCCTACTTTGTGGTCCTGGGGATGGAACCCAGGTCCTTGTGCATGCTAGGCAAATATTCTACCACTGAACTACATCTCCAGCTTATCCCAAATCATTTCTGAAATCTTACTATTAAGTGTGGGTAGGCCAAGTACATGGACAGGGTTGCTGAGGAAAAACTAATCTACCCACCCTGGCACTTAGGCCCTTCCCAATTTTCCTCAATCACTTGCTTGTTCTTGCTATGACCACCAATGCCTCAGCAGCTTATTTCTATAAACTCCAGGACTTACCTCAAAGATCATCCGCTGAAGACCAAAGCAGAATGTGGAACCAAATGGGTTAGTGTTGTTTGGGGAGGAGGACCTGAGGCCAGAGAAAGCAGAATTAGAGGAGCAGACAAAGGTCTGAACAAGGTCAGCAAGGCATTCATTCCCTTTTGGGATGTGGGCCACCAGCTAATTATCTCTTGTGGCTTTGAGTGTACTTCTGTCTCCATATAGGCCCTTTAGGTTCTAGGGGTAGGAATGGCCTGACTCAATTCAGAATTCTAGATAATCAAAGAGGACTCAAAAAGTTACTGTGGAACTGGACAGGGGTGGTAAAAAGTCAGAAAGGTTCTTTCAAGTGGAGCCTTGAGCCCAAGTAGAAGCTGTAGGCAGCATAGCAGCAAGGAAGGGTCTTTAGGTTATAGTAGGTAGTGGCTTTGATAGGAAAGAAGAGCCTGGGACAATTGGTCAAGATCACCTCTCATTTTGAATAATTGGTGATGAGAGGGCCTCTATACTTAGAAGTATGGTAGGGGGCAAACATTAAGACCAATTGGCTCAGTCCTAATGTGCAGGATGGAGCAGGAAGTATGTTTTGGCAACATCAGATACTTCTATAATTTCTAAAGCAATACCCACTGGCAGACTTTCCTTGAGCCTTTTGGGCTTCAAGGAGCAGATGGAATGATCAGAGACAGCAAATGCTGACTCACCTGTGTAGGACAACGGGCTTCTCCACAGGGTGGCCCAGGAGCTCCTGGATATTGTCCCACTGCAAGACGGATGGGGAACAGCAAGGGTTAGTAGGGACGTAAACACACCTGTGACTAATGACTGGCCTGGAGAACATGACCTAAACTGCCAGCAGGCTCATGCTCAAGTCTTTCTAAAGTTGCATTAGGTAGGAAAATAGGAACTCACCTTGCTGTAGGTTGTACATGTTTCTGTTTGACCATCTGCATTTTCTGAAAAGAGAACACAATAGGCAGGCTGGTAACTGGCCTAGGCCACCTGTGTCCCCAGCAGTAGGCAGAATTCAGATCTAGCTACCTTTTGCCCTAGGGTTAGAGTACACGGGAAGCATAGGCAGGATGGAGAATTTTGGAGCTCCAGGATGGAAGAGGGTGGAGAGAAGGAAGGTTAGCCAGGTGTGAGCTACCAACTAGTAGCATGAGATAGGCACTAAGGATGGGTTCGGGGCACTGGATAATCATCTGTAGATAGGAAAATTTCCCCTTCAGAGGCCAGCAACCCCATAGTCAGAGGAAAAATCCTTGAAGGCCTCCAGGAGATTCTAGATCAAGAACAATGCAGCTCCCAGAATAAGGGACCTATCCCAGAGGAGCTGAGATTACCAGCAGAAGCAGGTAGGCAAAGGCTTCATTAACTACTACCACCCTCTCTATTTGGCTCTTCTCCCATCTCAGAATGGAAAAGTGACTCCCGAACCTCTTCCTTACCCCRAGGGGACACTACTCACCTTTCTTTATGGCTAGTGGGATCTTGAATTCACAGCGGTGATAACTACAGAAAAGGTAGATGAGGATAAAGGCTGGGCAATCTTGGAAGCCCTGACCACTYCTACATCCCAATACTGTACCCCCCAAAAACCAGAATCAAAGACACCTCCCCAATGCCATGGCTCTGGATCCCTGATACAGCATTCATGGGGAGARGCCATATTGGGTACTGAAGTCGAATAGAATAGGGCATGGCCTTAAGGTCTAAAGAGCCTAACACCTTGGATAAGGTATTGAGGCTTCTGATCCTTTTCTCTATTTAGAAAATGGGCACATATGGAGAGAATGTAAAACATTGGACATTGTGGCAGGGACACAGCAGGCACTCAGTAAATGTCCGCCTCCTATAAAACAGCAAGAATTCAGGCAGAGGGTTGGAGATGTAGGTCAGTGGTAGAGCACTTGCATGGCATGTACAAGTAAAAATGAAAGAACTCAGGTAGAGATAAATTAGAGAATGCTCAAAGTCACAAATTCTTTTTCCTGTTTTCTTTTTTTTTCTTTTTGTTTGTTTTGTTTTCTCCCCAGCCCAAAGCTCACTTACAAAATGTGTAATTGTACTTACATGTTAAAATTATAATGCCCAGGGTAATTGGTGTGTAGGACAAATTTCTTCACTTTGTGGGTATTTGCATCGAAGAGGATGTCCTGGGATAGAAAAGGGTTTTTTATTATTTCTATTATTGAGGTAGTGCAGGAACAATTTCCAAAGACATGTCCATCTTGGAGATTTCCATCCCACCAAAGGGATGCTTGCAGGCATCGGCTCTCTTCCAAACAATAGTCAAGGGGACAGCTAAGGCCAAGCAACCTTAACCAGGGATTTTCAGTGGAGGAAGGAGGGCAAACAGCTGCAGGCTTGGCAGGCACAGGGGTTACAACTATACTGCCTAAGGAGAAAAACACATAAGGGAGACCTTTTCTACAAAAGCGCCTAATGAAAAATCTGAGTGCAGACTTTGACTTAAAGACTATCAAGAAGATTCAGGGACCAATTRACAGTAGAGGGTCTCAAAGGCACCTGATACTTTTTTTTTTTTTTTTGGTGGTGCTGGGGATTGTGCATGTGGGGTAAGCACTCTACCAACTGAGCTATATCCCTAGCCCTCCTGGCTATAATGAATGCTATGACCTGCCAGACTTTC